GTTTAAAAGTGTACTGGTGTAAAAGTGTGCAGGGGAAGACAGAGTCCCCACTGAATAGTTTTCATCTCATCTAGATGGATCTGGTGAAAAGAAATGGGGATAAGATTCTTATAATTCAATAGTAACTGTTATCATGACTAATTGCGTCTGTCACAATTGTAAAGGTAGAAGTTTTGTAACAAAAACGGGGGAGTAGTTAATCTTACAGTCCAGAAAAAGAGGACCCTAGGACCACCAGGGGGAAGAGCACAAGTGGAATGCAGGATCCTATCCACAGAAGCAACACCAAAGATGGAGGCAGAGATGGGGACATGGAGAGAGGGAGCAGCTGAGGACTCTAGACTCATGGGAAGAGAGGGACTGAGTGCTGGTGGCCAGGAGGCAGGCTTACAGAATGTGCCCTTTAGTGGTGTAAATTATTATATATGCCTGAATGTTAAAAAAAAAAAAAGAAGAAGAAGAAAGAGCTAAAATGAATAGTGAGAAATGCTGTTAACTGATGGTACATGGGGGATTATAATCATTGTAATGAAACAAAGTATATGATTTGTTGAATGCAAAACTGATGATCTGCCCTATAAACTTTCACTCAATTCACAATAAAAACTTGAAAAAGAAAAGCTCATGGAAAATGGAATTCAAAGGTAATGGAGTAAGTCCCCTCATATTAGTAAGTACACTTGCTCACATCCTACAAGACACATTAAATATAAAATGAAGAAAATGATGATTCATCCTAGAAAAGTAGAAAGAAGAAATTTTTTTTTTTTTTGTCTGCCAACAAAGAAAAGAAGGAGGGGTGGAGGGGTGGTGGATATTTATTTAATCAATAGTCCTGGTGTGGCACTGTCGGATAATCACTCATCCACAAGGCCGATTTGAACCACAGGTCAGAGTTTCAAAACCACCAGCCGCTCCTCAGAAACCCTATATAGGGCTGCTATGAGTTGGAACCTACTCAATAGCACTTAACAACAACAACAACCTAAATATAGGAAAAGAAAAGAGCTAAAGCAGTCTGACTGCAGCCGGGTTTTACTGGTCAGCTAGGAGGCACGTAATGTATTCATTCATTCAAAATCATTCAACAAAATTTATTATGAGCCCATCCTGGACAGTATAACTCTCAGAGTAATGTCAGATTGTGGAATCTGTGAATGAATCAACTTAACAGCAATGTAAAGAAACATAGACACACAATGAATAAGAAGATGAGCTGCTAGTATTCTATTTTCACTTTATCCTTATTGCCTTTAGTACATAGAACTTAAAACTTCCTGCATGAACTGTAAATTTCTTAGCTTCCATGAGGTTTTACTATCTATTATGATACCTTCAAATATTCACATTAAGGTTTGAACAAACATTCACTAGATATGTTACCTTGGGAAGGTAATAATTAAAGGGAAAACAATCAATTGAACTGATCATATGAAAAGAATAAGGAAAGCAATCATATGATCATCTCAATAAATACAAAAAAAGCATCTGACAAAATTCATTATTTAAACAAACAAACACAACACCACTCTCAGCAAATAAAGAATAGAAGAAAATTACTTCAACCTGATAAAGGTCATCTATTAAAATTCCACAGATTGAACATTTCCCCCTTAGGACTGGGAACTAGACAGGGATGACCATTCTCAGCACTTCTATTTTACATTATTAAACTGGAAATCATTGCAAATGCAATGTAGCATGGAGGGGTAAAAGGCCTATAGATTGGAAAGGAAGGTATGAAACTGTCTTATTTTTTTCAGGCAACAGGAATGTGTACACAGCAAAGTCTAAGAAACTTAAGAAAAGAAACAGTACTAGAGTACCTTGTGTGTCCTGGTGTAGCACACTATAGGATGAGCACTGAAATGATAACCACAAGGTCAGCAGCTTAAACCCACCAGCTGTTCTTTGGAAACCCTATAAAGGGTCGCTATGAGGCAGAATGGACTCCAAGGCACTTAACAACAACAACACACACATACATATATAAATATATGTATAAATCAATGGGATTTCTATTTACAATCAATGAAATAACAACCCAATTTTTAAAATGGGCAAAGGATATAAATAGTCATTTCTCCAAAGACTATACACAAATGGCCAATAATAACTGAAAATGTACTTGACATTAAACATTAAAACCCCCAAAAACGAAACAAAAAAGCCCAAGCCTACTGTTGTCAAATTGATTCTGACTCACAGCGATGTATAGGACAGAGTACAACTGCCCCACAGGGTTTCCAAGGGTGTCAGTCTTCATGGAAGCACACTGCCACATCACCACTGACCTTTCAGATTACACCCCAGCACTGTCACCTAGTACTATGCTCCTAGGGCTCCTTCATTAGCCATCAGGGAGATCAAATCAAAATCATGTTGACATACCACTTCACATTCACTAGGATGGCTACAATCAAAACACAAAATGAAATATGTTGGTGAGGACATGGAGAAATTGGAACCCTCATTAAGTGCTGACTATGTTGGCATTTCCTCAAAAGGTGAAACATAGAGATACCATGTTGCTGTTGTTGCTAATTGCCACCAAGTCAGTTGCGACTCACAGAGATCCTGTATCGCGTTTCCAATGAGCGGCTGGTAGGTCTGAACTGCTGATCTTGCAGTTAGCAGTCTACTGCTAATCCTAAAGTGCCTCCAGAGATACCATATGACCCAGCAATCCTGCTCTTAAAATATTATACTCAAGAGAAATGAAAACATATATTCATATAGAAACAAAATAAAACAACATTATTCAAAATAGCCAAAAGTTGAAAGAAACGTGAAAAACAAGCACGGAAGACTACACAGGGGGCCTGGTGTGATGCAGTTGTTGCTGTTGTTGTTATGTGCCGTGGAGTCAGTTCCAACTCAGAGCAACCCTGTACAGGGTTTCCGAGGCTATAAATCTTTACAGGAGCAGAAAGTCTCATCTTTCTCCCGCAGAACAGCTGGTAGTTTCGAACTGCTGACCCTGAGGTTTGCAGCCCAATTCGTAACCACTACGCTACCAGAGCTCCTTGGTGTGATGCATTATAAAGTCAGCAGTTCAAACCTCAGCTGCTCCTCAGAAACCATATACAGAGTCACTGTGAGTCAGAATTGACTAGATGGCTCTTAACAACCACCACAATAATTTAGCCATCGTGGTGGTGGCAGTGTGCTCAAAGAAGGCAACTTGTTTGTTTTTAAATGGGTAATTTGAATAAATACTTCACAAGAGAGGACACGCACCATTAGTCATCAGGTAAAATACAAGTTAAAACCACAATGATGTTGTAAAACATTCACCAGAATGCCAAAATAAAAAACACAGAAAATACCAAACACTGGGGTGCTAAGTGCAGGGTCTAGTTCGAATCCACCAGCCAATCCACAAGAGAAAGCTGAAGCTGTCCTGCTCCCATCAAGATTTAAAGCCTCAGAAACCTAATGGAAAAGCTCTACTCTGTTTTACAGGGCGCCATGGTCAGAATTGACCCGATGGCAGTGGGGAGTTAGTAAGTTACAGTCTTACGCAATGCTGATGTTGTTGTTAAGAGCTGTTGAGTTGGTTCTGACTGATAACGACCCCATACAGGGTTTTTGAAGAGTGGCTGGTGAACTTGAACTGCCAACCCTGAGGTTCAAACTGACTTTGCAGTCCAGAGCATTAGCCTATAGCGCCACACCAGGCATATGTAATGGTACAAACACACTGAAAAACTGGCAATTTTGTATAAAATTAAACTATATTTAGCATATGACCAATCAATTACATTGGCCAAATATAAGAAATGGAAACGTACATATAAATTTCAAAGCAGTTTTAATTAATAATAGCTAAAACCTGGAAACAACCTAAATGTCCTTTAACTGGCAAATCAGTAAACAAATTGTGATATATTCCCACAAAAAAATCCTATCCACTTATAAAGGACACTAACTCCTGATACAAATAAATCTCAAGAATAGTAGGCTGAATGACAGAAGCCACATTCCCCAAAGCCATTTTTTACGGTTTCATTACATTAAGTTTTGGAAAGGTAGAACTAATCTATAATGATAAAAAGAGATCAATGATTGCTGAGGACACTGGGCGTGTGAGAATGGTTGACAAGAGGCCTCAGAGAACTTTATAAATTGATGGAAACTTTCTACATCTTGGCTGAGGGGTGGTCATATAAGTACATACATGTCAAAATTCAGCAAACTATATACTTAAAATGGGTTTATTCTGTTTTTTAACAATTATTCTTCAACAGAACTTATTTAAAACAAAGATAAAAAGCATGCTTCTTGAGATAACGAAATATAATGATAGCAACTTGAGGACAGAGTGAAGCAAGTGAAAGATAAAAAGCAGAAGTGGCAAAGTTAGAAAATCATACCTATGCATTTTAAGAAAGAGAAGACAATGGATCAACACTTTCTCTCTTTCCTCTAGGAAAGTTTCAATAACTAGTAAGGAAATTGTGAAATGACAAGTGTATCAAGGTTCATTGTTAATTGTCCCTGGATGGCACAAATGGTTAAACACTGGCCTACTAAGCAAAAGGATGGTGATTCAATCCCACCTACCCAAATGTGCCTCAGCAGACAGGCCTGGCGAGCTGTTTCTGAAAAGTCACGGTTTTGAAATCTTATTCTGTATATACAGGGTCAAAAATGACTCAACAGCAATTGACAACGACAATTAATTTCATATAGCTACAGAATTTTAACATCTTAGCATTCATTTTTCTAAGCTACTACTGCCATCTCCATCCCTTTATTGAAACTGTTCAGCAGAAAAGACAGGCAGGCCTTGAAGCAGAATGTCTCCTACATATTGCCTTGGCACGATGGCTGAATTCTTTTACACATCTTGTTTCACATATAACTATCATCAATTTAAAGTCATTTGGGATGAGATTCTGATAGAAAGTTTAGCCAGAATCAACTCCTTTCTCACAACAGAGACAACTGGAAGAAGAAAAGTACACATAAGAAAAAGATATTCGAGTAACACTCACCTCTTCCACAAGATGCCAGTACTTGCAGTTACCGCAGACGCTCCGAGGAAAGCCACCATCATTAGTCGTCTCCTGACCTGGGTGGGCTGTGATCCTCCATGGTACCATCGAGAGCCCAACGCCAGTTCGGCCAACTTAGAAAGTGAGCTGAGACGAAACATCCTGTGGACAAAGAGTTGAAATGTTACTCCTAGCTAGTGGGGATAGAAGTGCAGAGATGATGACGATTTCATCAATATTACCAACAAACACAGATTAAATATTTACTCAATGGCAGACACAAACAACAAGCCCATGAAAAAGGCACTGACTATCAAACCAGTACTTTAGTCAAGGGCCAATTTTTATGAAGTGTCGTCAAGTCAGTTTCAAGTCACAGTGACCCCTGTATAGGGTTTCTGAGGAGTAGCTGGCAGGTTTGAACAGTCCAGGGCTGATTCTACAGCACCACACCAGGAGTCCCAAGGGCCAATTGTTGTTGTTGCTAAGTGCCATTGAGTTGGTTCCAACCCACAGTGATCCTGTATAGGGTTTCCGAGGAGTAGCTCGTGAGCTTGAACCACCGACCTTGAGGTTCACACTGAATTGCATTAACTGTCCAGAGCATTAATCCACAGTGCCATGCCAAGACTAATTAGGAGAAAGAAATCACATGGCAATCTGAACAGGGAAAGTTTAATATAAAGACTCATTTGTTATAACAGGGGAGTAACTACTAAGAGATGAAGAGAAAGCAGATACAGGAGGCAGTCACTCCTAGAGCCAATGAAGAGCACCAAGAAAGGCACAACGCTGACAGAGGGCTACTCCTGATGGTGCAGAGCGCTTGCCCTTTTGGAAAGCAAAGCCAGGTGTGTCCGGCAGACCTGGCTGGGAGCTGTCCTCCGTGATGACAGAGGGAGCTGTCTAAAGGACGGTGCCATTCCATGTCACTTGCTGGGGAAGTATCCATTAGGGTGCAAGTGGCTGAGGCCACAATCTGGGCCTCACTGGGACGCTGCCTGTGGGATGCTGCGCTGATTGCTCTTGAGAGCCACATGCACTGCTGGCCACAGAATCACCTACAGGACGGATAGGGGACCCTGGGCATCATCACAGGATAAACTGCACCCTTTCTTTTCCTTTTTTGTTTTAATTGGCTTTGTCAGAATTTTGATTTATATCTGAAACATAAGTCCTAGCTAAGCAAAATCTAGCACCAAACAGATGCATTACTTTTTTCTGTCACTTTCCCTCCCCCCTGCCCCTGATTGATTCTTAAATTAATAGTTTCCAAACCTATACATGTGTTCACATACGTAACACTGATTTGGGCTACCACGAAAACCAGCATGACTAAAACACACACATACATGGAAAAAAGAAAGGATACTGGAAATTTTCAATGTGAAGAGAAGCATAGCTAATTCAAAGGTTGGAATAGGCAAACGTTTGTGTAAGGACTGGATGATACTCAGGATATCCAGTGCGACCTGGAGAACAGCTAGACATAGGATAAAGTAGGTAAGACAGAGGCATTTGAGAAGACTCTGAATTTTTATTTGATCATAAATACAACAGGAGGCCACTGACATTCTTAAATAGGAAACGAATATGATCATTTACCAGCAGTATAGGGAACAAATTGCAAAGTCAAAGGCAGAGAGAAGGGGGCTGGAAAATCTAGGCATTTGGTGACAAGGTCCTAGAGAAGGATAATACAAAAATCAGTAGAGTAATAAAACAAAAACAAAAAAATTCCAAGGAGAAACAAAACTGTATGATACCAGTTTTTTATCAACATCAATATCTAACTGCATTCAAGATATATGGAAAACAGAAACCCGAAAGAGATTAAAACACAAAAACTAAGTGACAGGAACTGAATGGAACCCAATGACTCACAATGTAGCCTCAACTCTGCTATTAACTGGCTGTGTGCACAAAGAAAGCTCATTTCCCTTCCTTGGGGAAAAGTTTTGTTAACTATCCTTGAGTCAGTTCTGACTCCTAGTTACAGTGACAGATGGTAGGTTTGAACTGCTGACCTTGTAGTTAACAGTCCAATGCTTATCCAACAGCACCATACCAGGACTCTAGGGGAAATTTTGCCCATTGGTAAAATGACAGAATTACCCAGATGAACGTTGTTGTTGTTGTTAAGTACCGTCGAGTTGGTTCCAACCCATAGCGACCCTGTAACAGGGTTTCTGAGGCTATAAATTTTTACGAGAACAGAAAGCCTCAGCTTTCTCCCACGGAGCAGCTGGTAGTTTCAAACTGCTGACCTTGTGGTTCACAGCCCGATCCGTAACCATACGCTACCAGAGCATTACAGTTCCTTTAATCTTTTTAATACTCTCATATCTCAATGTACCACTGTTGTTAGCTGTCGTAGAGTCCGCTCCAATGCACAGCAAATCTATACACCACAAAATGAAACAGTGAACGGTCCCACACCATACTCACAACTGTTGCTATGCTTGTGCCCACAGTTGTAGGCACTGGGTCGATCCATCTCATTCAGAGTCATCTTCCTTTTCACAAATCTTCTACTTTACCAAGCATGATATCGATATCCTTCTTTAGAAACTGGTCCCTCTTGATAGCATGTCCAAAGTATGTGAGAAAAAGTCTCAACATCCTCACTTCTAAGGAAAATTCTGGTTATTTTTCTTCCAAAACAGATTTGTTTGTTCTTCTGACAGTCTAAGGTATATTCAATGTTCTTAGCTAACACCATAATTCAAAGGGCTAATTTCTGCTTTGGTCTTCCTTATTTGTTGCCCAGATTTCACATGCATATGAGATGACTGAAAATCTCATGGCTTGGGTCAGGGGTCAGGCCATGAAACATGAGGATGAAGATATGCCTTATCCAAGCCAGGTTATGCTATGAAGTATAGCAAAACCTAGTCTATTTCACTTGGGAGGAGATACTAAGATCACATCATATATTCAAGACTGATTAGTTTTGAGAATTCATTTCTGTATGCTCTCAATCCAGGGAATTTCAAACTTCAGAAGTTTGAATTTTACTAACATTAGATTTTGATTCTGTAATTTCCAATATTACTATCTAAATACCTTTTTATCACTGGTTTTAACCTTAGTCCCTGAAGGATACATCAAAAGATAAATCTATGTATCTTCTCTAGTATAATTTTCAAAGGTGACAAATAAATAGAAAACAAATCAAACTGACTCTATTATAATTTAATTGCTACCTTTGTAGTAAAGAAATAGTGTTAATGTTTGAAGAGTGACCATTTAAACAGCTTTAAGGAGATCAGCTTTCCCCAACTGAGTTTGGAAAATAAAGCAGGTTAATTGGCAGCAGATATGCAATAATGAGCAGAGCTCTGGTAGCGTAGTGGTTACGAATCGGGCTGTGAACCACAAGATCAGCAGTTCGGACCTACCAGCTGTTCCACAGGAGAAAGAAGAGGCTTTCTACTCTCGTAAAGATTTACAGCCTTGGAAACCCTGTACAGGGCCACTATGAGTCGGAACCAACTCCATGGCACACAACAACAATGCAATAATGAAGATAAACACCCACATTTATGACATGGGTTAAAAAAACTAGACTGAATACTGTAAATTAAATCAACAGCATTG